GAAGTTGGAGATGAACGAGAAGTTATAGATTCTTCTGAAGCAACACTAGAGCACGAAGAACAAGAACAAGTAGAGTCTAGTGCTCCAGATGTTCGACGATCAACACGGGAAAGAAAAGAACCAGCTTGGCACTCAGAGTATATTATGGAGGGCAATGTTGCATACTGCTTACTGACAGAAGATGGAGAGCCATCAACTTTCAATGAGGCTATACAAAGCCAAGAAGTTTCTCTGTGGATGGCAGCAATGCAAGAAGAAATTGAAGCTCTTTATAAGAACAAGACATGGGATCTTGTTCCACTACCACAAGGAAGGAAGGCCATTGGAAATAAATGGGTCTACAAGATCAAACGAGATGGCAATGACCAAGTAGAGCGGTATCGTGCAAGACTGGTGGTGAAGGGATATGCTCAAAAAGAAGGCATTGACTTCAACGAAATATTTTCTCCTGTGGTTCGTCTCACAACAATTCGAGTAGTTCTGGCGATGTGTGCTACATTCGACTTACACCTGGAGCAGTTAGATGTGAAAACTGCATTTCTTCATGGAGAACTTGAAGAAGAAATTTATATGCTCCAACCAGAAGGTTTTGAAGAAAAAGGAAAAGAGAACTTGGTTTGCAGGTTGAACAAATCTCTATACGGTCTCAAACATGCACCAAGATGTTGGTATAAGAGATTTGATTCCTTCATTATGAGCCTTTGATACAACAGATTCAGTTCAGATCCTTGTGCTTACTATAAAAGATTTGGTGAAGGTAATTTCATTATTTTGTTGTTGTATGTTGACAACATGTTGGTAGCAGACCCCAATAAAGATCGTATTAAAGAGTTGAAGGCACAGTAGAGTGTTTGAAATGAAGGACTTGGGACTAGGAAACAAGATTCTATGGATGCAAATTTACCAAGACATAAATAATAAATAGACTTGGCTTTCACAGAAGAATTATTTGAAGAAAATCTTGCAGCGCTTCAATATGCAAGATTATAAGCCAATTTCTACCCCTCTTCTTATTAATTTCAAGTTATCCTCGATTATGAGTCCTAACAATGAAGCAGAGAGAATGGAAATATCTCAAGTACTGTACGCATCAGTAGTGGGTAGCTTAATGTTCGCTATGGTTTGCACAAGACTAGACATTGCACAAGCAGTGGGAGAGGTTAGTCGATACATGGCAAATCCTGGCAAAAAGCATTGGAATACTGTAAAGAGGAATCCTGAGATATGTTAAGGGTACCTCAAATGCTGTACTATGTTATGGAGGATCAACTTAACTGTCAAAGGCTATGTTGATTTAGATTATGCAAGTGATCTTGACAAGAGCAATTCTACCACAGGTTGTGTGTTTACTCTTGCTGGAAGAGCTGTAAGCTGGGTTTCAAAACTGTAGTCTACCGTGGCAACTTTTACGACAGAAACAAAGTACGTCGCAGCTACACAAGCTAGCAAAGAGGCAATCTGGTTGCGAATGCTACTAGAAGATCTCAGACACAAACAAGAGAAGATTGCTGTGTTTTGTGATAGTCAGAGCGCTTTGCACTTAGTAAAGAATCCAACATTTCACTCGAAGACAAAACACATACGAGTTTAGTATCACTTCGTTCGTGAGAAGGTGGAAGAAGGAAGGTGGATATACATAAAATCCATACTAAAGATAATCTAGCAGATATGTTAACAAAGCCAATCAACAATGACACGTTTACTTGGTGTCGATCCTCCATCGGCCTAGCAAAAACGTAAGTAGCATGGAAATGGAAAGTGTAGGAAGAATAGAAGGGGTTACAACAAAAATGACTTTAAGTGGGAGAAATGTTGGGTAAAGTTTTCTTCTCGACCAAAGAACTTATTTAATGCAAAGAGGTTGGCAAATTGAGTTTCTCTTCTCCAGCCAATGTCTGGCCGAAATTTTCTGCAGTTATTGTTGACATTTTGGAATGAATTTAATGAGTAAGGTGGGTGGTATTTCCTTATAAATAGAAGCTGGGATGAATAAACAATACAAGCCATGTAGAGAGAAAATAATTGTGAGTAGAGGGATAAAATTATAGGGAGAAAAAATTATTATTTTCTCCTGGGTATTTCCTACTTGTTTTCTCCTATTACAAGATAAATTAATTGTTGTTATCTCTTTATATTTAGAGAGTTTTGTTGTAATCCTTTTACTATAGTGAAATCCTTCTAGAGTTTGCTTGTAATTTTATTTTTTTTACTTCATTTTGTTTGGAGGTTTTTCCACGTAAAATATTGTGTTCATCATTTTTCCTTAGTTTTCTCAATTTCTACTTTAGTTGCAATTGGGTGCCGTACCATAACTTCCTAAAAAGGAAGACAAACTTCCCAACAAGGAAGACAAACTTCCCAAAGGGGTTGTTTTCTTTGTATCTATTTTTCCCTTTTCCAAAGGTATCCAAATAGGAAGATTATAAAGCCGATTGAAACAGCAAATCTTCAAATAAATTATGTCACAACTGTGCCCATATTATATCACTTAGATTTTTAAGAAAAAGTTTAGCACAAAAAATATTTTTCTTTTTAAAGAGCAATACCACAATATTTGTCTAGAAAATTTGTATTTTAATAATATTTATTAGTATATTCTTATTAATCTCAACTGTGGTTTTCAGGATTCTTGATACATAAAAGATTAACACTTCTTCTAGAGCAAAATTAAAATATTCTTTAAAATATAGTTGTGGTATACAAGAGGAGTAAACAAATATTTATTAATATTAATATAAAGATGCGCTTCTATAGGACAAAAAGATTTTTTTTTTGGGAATATATATGAGCATTTTTATTAAAGCATTAACCTAATATTCTTCTTGAATATTGACACATGGTAATAATAATAGTAGACATAATTATCAGTTGACACATAGTAATGAAGACTATGCTTACAATTGATCAATATATTAATAACAAAGTAATCATAAAGAATAACAATGAAATTTCAAATCCAGTATTATTCCCACACACCAAAAGCGACCTTGTGCAACACGCAAAAGGCAACATTCGTTGATTAAATATTGCTAAAGGTGTCTATCACAACATTTTAGTAAATGAATGTTGTCAACATTCGTTGATTAAATATTGCTAAAGGGGTATATCGCAACATTTTAACGAGTGAATGTTGTTATTGTCTAACATAACAAAGAATACCAATGAAATTTCAAATCTGGTATTATTCCCACTACACCAAAAGTGACATTTTGCAACACGGAAAAGGCAACATTCGATGATTAAATATTGCTAAATGGGTATATCGCAACATTTTAATGAGTGAATGTTGCTATTGGCTAACATAATTGAGCTTTCGTAACATTTTCTAAATAAATGTTGCTAATATCGCCTTTTGTAACGTTTTATAAATGTTGCGAAAAATTTAAGTTTTTGTAACGTTTTTTGAACGTTGTTGAAATCTGGTTCTATAACAACATTCAGGGCCCGTTGTTGAAACTCTCATTATAAAGGCTTTTACAACATTTATTGATTGTTGCGAAAATTACTTTTTGCAATGTTTTTTGAACGTTGCGAAAAATTCACTATTGCAACATTTTCTGAACATTGCGAAAAGCTTTGTACTTTTTTCCCAAGATTAAATTATATATGGGCTCAAATGATAGAAACCAAAAATAATCCAAACCCTACACAAATTCATGCCCCCCTCCATTCATTCCTTTTCATTTACGCTTCTCTTCTCCGAATCTCTTTCAATCCCATTGCCGGTAGTTGAGCTGTCGGAGTTAGGAGAAGACCCACCTTCACCGCCTACTCATTCACCCCTGGCCTCCTCTATTCCAAGCGCCAGTGGATGGAGGGTGCTAGATGCTTCGTCTTTGGAGAAGCTAACAGTATTTTCTTTTAGTTTGAGTTTTGAATTTAAATTGGTTTAGATTTGATTAAAATAGGCATAAAGAAAAGCAAATAGAAATTTTGAGTTTGTTATTGTCATAAATTTGACTATTAGATAACTAATCTCATATTTAATGGATTGTGATCTATTACTATAATCAAGGTTCTGAAATCCCTTAACTTAACATTCGTAGAAGCCTACTTGAGTTCAGAATTGAATTCGTTGGAATCTAGATTCATTGAATCAAGAAATAGAATAGCCATATCTAGGTCAAAAAGCTTGTTCTCTTGGTTCTTGGTGTCAAACTAAAGGTTGCTTCAAACAAAACCACCAAGGAAATTTGCCCCTTCAAAATCTAAGACAAGGACCAAAGTTGTTGCTCCCAATACTAATTGTCCTGAGAACAGTTGGTTGCTAAGGTTGGACATGGTGAAGAAGATGGTGTTTATAATTAATAAGCTTTGAGAAAGAGATGTCAATGACATTGAGGAAGTTAGCGTCTAAGGCTAATAAGGTATGACTCAGAGTGTGAAGTCCAATAGTAAAAGAACTAGAATGGATGGATAAATATGTAAATTCTTATACTGCCAACAGGCTGGAGAAAGAGAGTGAGTACAGGCAAAGCCAAGAATAAAAAGGACTAAAACTGGCATAAAATAAAGAAGGGATGCTTTGTGCCAAATTTGTTTTAGTAGAAAATACCCTTGCTTTGTGCCACTATATGGCCATTTTCTGTGCTTCTCTTCTCCTTTCATCAGGAACATTGACCTATTGGAACAGAATTGGGGTAACAAGTATTAGCACATTGCTAATTTCGTTTTGTAAATGACCTACTTTAGGTAATTAACTGTATTTGGTTTCTAAATGAAAAGAAAGATTGAATTTATTTGGATTAAAGCATGCACTCAATTACATAAAGTGGGTCATCCATGTTTGGCGACGAATAGGACACTCTGTTATGGCAAGAACAATTTTATCAGAAAACAACATTGTATGTGATAAAGTGGGTCGTCCCAGCTTTAATCTGATTTATACTTCTAAACAAACAAGTTTTTCTCGTCCCTCCAAGGCTCTATATATACCAATGCAGTTTCGAGTTTTCAATGCAATTTAATCACTCTTTCTCTTCGTTTTTCTACATTCTGAGATGGGTGGTGTTGGTATTGGGGTTAGCCGGGGCGGCCATGGTGATGATCCTACTAAGTACCCTGGAAAACTCACATTGTATGTGATAATAACTTTAATGGCTATAGCTATGGGAGGATTAATCGTTGGATACGATATTAGTATATCAGGTATACAATTTAGCCTTGTAATTCTTTTTCATGGTTTTGATTATTCAAGAAGAATTCTAATTTAAGTTTCTTGATTTTCTTGATGTAGGTGGAGTTACTTCCATGGCGCCTTTTCTAGAGAAATTCTTTCCATCTGTTTACCATAAGCAGATGGATGATACATCAACAAATCAATACTGCAAGTTTGACAGCCAGATTTTGACACTTTTTACATCTTCACTCTATTTGGCTGCCCTTGTAATGTCCTTTGTTACATCAACAATGACCAAGAAATTTGGCCGGAGAAAATCGATGATGTTTGGTGGAATAATTTTCTTGGTTGGTGCCACGTGAACACTGCAGCAGTGCACAATAGTATGTTAATCATAGGTTGTGCACGCTGTTTGTTTTTTTTTTTTTTGGAAATATATTGAATTTTTAGATGCTTTAGAATTTTGGATCTGAATGTTGTATGAATATCGTTACATTTTGGAGTACAATTAATAATAATTATTGGAATTGTTTGATATTGTCATCTTCTATTTTATTTTGTGGTAGATTTGTGCAAATTATTGTACAAATAAGAAAATGTAAAAAATTTGTAAATGACATATGGCAACGGTCAAAACATGTTGTAAAAAATAAAGATATAAGTATAAACAACATGCAAAAAAATGTTACAAAATGTTTTAGCAACGTTAAAAAAATGTTGCAAAAATGTTAATAGCAACACTAAAAATACGTTGCAAAAAAATTATGGTAACACTTAAAATACGATGCAAAAAGGTTATTCATAGCATTCAAAAACGTTGTAAAAAGGTTATGGCAACACTCAAAAAACGTTGCAAAATGTTATTGGCAACATTCAAAAAACCTTGCAAAAATGTTATTCGCAACGTTAAAAAAATGTTGCAAAAAAGTTATGGCAACACTCAAAAAATGCTGTTCTACCCTTGTACTCTACGACAATATCGAGGTTTGCAACATACTTAAAAACGTTGCAAAAGGTTTCCGACAACTTTTTTGACCGTTGCAAAAGACTGTTTTTATTGTCGTGTCCATATGAGGTGGGTTTGGATTTCAACAAGGGTAATTGTAAATTGTGGCTTGCATATACAATTATGCATGAACTGTAGGTGGAATATTGTAGCGGCCCAATTTTATTTATTTTTCTATACATTTAATTAATCTCATTGCTAAATTTTTTGAAATAATAAAATAATAACATAGCAAACAACTTTGACATCATTTAAAAAATAATTTTCAAATGGTTTAATGTTAACATTGTACACTAAGTATTTGACTTCAAAATCATTATCTTAGTTTATTATAGCTTATTATACATACCTTCTATGATATTTCATTAATATTTAATTTATGCCTAATTTATAAAAACATAAGGCAATAGGGAATCAATGGAATATAATATAACCCCTGTTTGACCCTCATTTTTTTAGGGAAAATGTGATTTTGAATAGTGGTATTTTGGAGATGTATGGTTCAAAAATAAGATAAAGTTTTAGGTTTACGTATAAAATTAGTTTATAGAAAAATGTGTGGTTGAAAATGAATATTGAAAAAAATGAGTTTTTGAAAAATGAGGATCAAATAAAGCTAAATTATTCTTTAGAATAAAGCTTATCCTTTTCGGGATTCCCTGACTATAGACTTACTGAACCCTAGTCAAGTACCCAATACATAATTGTCTCTTCATTTGAGAGTAGGCACCAACCTCTATTATATGCATTGTCACACCTTCAGTGCAAAACTATATGAGCAAAAAGCTCTATAAGTAATGATATGCATGATCATAAGCATAATCAGAAGCATGATGTGTCATCATTTACTTTATATCTCAGCTTATTCATTTTCTAACTTTACATCCCCAAATCCCACTACAATGTACTGTATAAGCTCAAATATCGACAAGTCAACAATAATCATGTTATTTCCAAAAGCATGTAGGTCTACTCTTGTTACTACAACAACTCATGATTCCATAATGTATCCATCCTAGTCACTATAACTCAAGAACTGCACTATCATATAAATCACACATCAGGCCTAGCTAAGATACGATGTTCTTTGTATTGACTTGCAATCCTCAAACCACCTTAGGATCTCTTGACACCGCTCATATATTAGTATCGAGCCCTTGAACATGGTATCATTAGCTATCGAGAGTGATAATCGGAAAGTCTCAACACGTATATCTATTTGAATGCAAAGAAATGTACAATATTACAGCTTTGAGGCAATTTTTATTAATATTAATTGTTATCATCTCATTTCTAATGCCATAATTGAGTATTCAAAATCGTCTTTTTTTTCTTTATTCTTAGACTTTACAAGTTATGCATAGTTACTTCTCTCTTATACATGAATATGTATACTTGTACATAAGATAGAGATGCATTAATATAAATCATGCATCACATATGATGGGTAATAGTATTCCAGCATACATACATGTATAACAATATTTTATATTCATATTGTATATCAAATACTCCAATTATAGAACAAAGATATCAGATGCGTATAAATTGAAACAACAGTACATTTCTTGTAATCACGTATGAGAAAGTTGTTTGCATTTTAGTTGAACAATTAGCAATATTTTGAAAATCGGACTGGACATTGACTCGGAAAAGGAATGTCGACCCAAAAATTAAAATAATTTATTAAATAAAATTTTATTTGAATATATAATACTTAAAATATAAATTACTATATAGATGTCACGCTCCATTCATATAGGTAACAATATACTAACTAGTATAGGAATACAATTGGTGATTTGACCTGGACATCCAAATTCACACACACATTTTTTTTTTAATAAAATGAAAGCATCTCCAAAAGTATACCCCGAAACCAAAGATCATAAAATCATAGTCCAACATATTTATCCCGAGATTGTAACAGTATTTACATGCCATTTCAAAAGTCGTACAAGATCCTCAAAATATAATACAACTAGAGTCCACAAATAACTCTACAAGTCGTCATCCATATACATCAAACTTCGAAATCCTGTAAAAGCTCTACAGCCAACCATGTCTCATAGGAAGTTCCATGCTCACCTACAATGCAAGAACTATATAAGTCAATGCTCAGTAAACAAAAATCATGCAGGTACTGAGTATGAGTGATAATAGTATGTGACACCATACCATTTACTTTAAACATCATGCTAAAGATGTATCATGCTCAGATATTCGTCAAAGTCGACTCGAAATAATTTCATTTTAAATCATTCATTGGGCCATTAACCCACCTACTATACACTGGATACAACTCTGCACTATATCAATATCAATAATCAAATGGCCAATTTGACATCGACACCGACGAGTGGACCATCCTCCTTTGACCACTAAAGGCCTATCCCCTAACTGCCCCTATGATCACTCAAGAAGTATCCCACCCAGCAGCGCCAATAATCAAAGTATCACAAAGCCACAGTCAAGCGGTCTACCCTCATCTGATCACCAAAGGCCCATCCCCTATTCACATTTGCAATCAACCAGGAAGTATCACCCATAGTGCCAAAACATATAACATAAGCATGCCTCACATGCCTCGGCGCCTTAGTAGTGGTTAATAAAATATTTTATGAGAAAAGCTCAATTTTACAATCATGTTGTGCATGCTAGATTTTCAACCATGGATATATGTCGTGCATGCAAATGAAAATGCTCATGAGTAACATTCTCAATGATCATAACCATCAAATGATACACAATGAGCTCCTTATCAGAGTTATGTAAATATTCCAACTCTACTATATCATAAGCACTATGTTCTTGCATTGTAGATGAGAATGGATTTTCACTTACCTTTTTGCCCTTGTGTGTGTGCGCGCCTCTACGGAGTGTAAATCAATTTTCTTTTTCACTTAAAGTCAAAGAATCACATGTATTACCATCTAATATTGAACACAATCCTCAATTTGATAATTTTAAAATACACACACACACACAAAAAATCCACTTGCTACGTCCATTCATGCCAAAATAATTTAGATGACATTAACAATTCAAATTACCGATTACATTACAAGCTAGTCTCATAAATCACACTATTTCTTGAATCCAATTATGAACATCAACGTCATCCAATTGTTGTTAACAACCTAGCATCCTTAAAATGTATTTTCCATGCCTAAGAGATAATTAGTGGACATGTAAATGTTGAATCTAAGTTAAATACAGAAATGGACCGAATCTATTTTCAAGTTTCCGTCGTTGTCCAAGTATTTTCCAATCCTTTTTCACACCTTAACTATATCCAATGATTCCCGCATAAAGGTATTCATGCCATAAATTTGTCACAAGTGAAGGTTTTACAGCTTCGAAGGCATTCATTTTTACAGATTCCAAATCAAATAATTTATCTCTTGGCTGTTTTAAGTTTCACTTGAACTAGACTTTCAAAAAATTGGATTCTAACCTATTAAAGATCATTTCTATTCTTCTAACTCTTGCATAAAATCATTCATATTGATAAATATAAGTTATACCCAAGGGATTACTTAAAATCGAAGGTTAACCTATTCAAGTCTAGCAATCTACATCTCTGTCCAGGTTATTTTCTTTCAAATTCTTGTAATTAATTGCCCCGATTTTTGCCATCAGAAATCATCAAAACACTCTCAACATGATTTCAATCAAGTCTAGAGCTTCAAGAGGCTATAAAACTCTCAAAAACACTAAAAAAATACCTCAAAATAGTGTACTAATTCAGATGCCCAGAACTCCCAATTCCCAGCTTCCCGTTTTCTATTTTCCTTTAGTTCTTTTGCTTTCTCTTTCACTTGGGGATAACTTGAGGACAATTTTGGGGTTAAGTGTCCTATTTAGGTGTTATATAAAGAGTCTTAAGGGCTGGGGTCGTGCTTGACACTTAAGGATGAAAAAATTGGTGATTAAATGACAAGTATCTCCAAGTATGAAGTGTCCAAGCAAGATGTGGTTTCATGTAGTCATATTTGGCTTTTCCTTTCTCATATTTAGATCCTTATGTAAATTATAAGATATATATCTATCCAATACAAGATGCTAAGGCTTTATAAGACATGATAGAGGTCTTAAGATTGAAGGAATTTGATGTTAAAATGACAAGTCATCACACGTTAAGTAGGAGGTGTATCTTTCTAGGAGCGACGCTACAAGAACAAATTGTCTACATAATGGTATACATAATTACAAGTGGCATTGATCAAAACCTTTAATTCAAATCTGACACTTTCACATCAACGACATGATGGTTGCCACATCACATTATGTCATTCATTATGTACACTTAGCATTTTCCTCTTTCTAGTTAAATTCTAATTTTGTACCAATCCT